TTTTTTCCTTTTTTCTTTTGTGAACGTATGAGTTATGAAGTAGCATTCCCGAATTTGAAGCCTCGGCGTCCGTTCCTAGCTCTTGTGTTGCGGTTGTTGTTGCTTTGTGTTTTTTTTTTTTGTTTGTTTTGTTTTTTTCCTTGATGAACTGAAAATTGGAATCACTTTTTGGGCTGATTTTTGGGACCGTGTGTGTGATGAAGTAAACAGGCCGGGTTCCGTGGAGATTCCAAAATCGCGGTCCACTTGGGGGTCCTAATCCAATGAACTGACCCCCCCCCCCCAAAAAAAAAAAAAAACACCCCCTCCCCATAGACCGACCGTGCTGCACAAAGAGAGTGAGGAGCTCGACTGGACGTAGTGGTGCAAGTCTGGACTGGTTTCAAATACTGACCTCTATACTCTGTTTTGAAGTGTTTTTTTTTTTGTTTTTTTTTCCGAGCAAGTAGGGCATTGTGTTTATCGGGTGTACATTATTATTATTATTATTATTATTATTATTATTATTGATTACATCTGTTGTGTATGATGATTTTATTATTTGTCACCACCGCTTGCTGAAGGTTGGCACTTGAAGATTTGTTTGTCCCCTCTTAAAAAAAAAAAAAAAAAAAAAAAAAAATTTAAAAAAATCAAAATAATAAATTATTCCTATAAAGAGAATTGAAAAAGAGTTTAGATTGTGGAAGATTCAAATTTTTGTGTCGATCACTGAAAATTATTTCTTTGGAATTTTGGTTGTTGGGGATTTTAGTCTGGAGCGGTATATATTGATTTTTAATTTTTTTTTTTTTTTAACATTAATAAAGTTTCCTGCACTGGGCCAGTGAGACTGTGATGAAGCAGATTTTTTTTTTTTCACCCCCCCGGGCCACCTTTACATGGCTGAAATTGTATGGATCTTTCTGCTGGTTACTGTACACGAGTGCCGTTTTTTTTTTTTTTTCAATACTAGCACTATTTTCCACCAAGAGGCGCAAAAGTATGCCGGCATTTTGTATTTCATTTTTGTTGTCAAACGGCATGATGATATGATCTCGATAGCAGCCGATACTTGAATATATGGTGAATAGTGAAGCACAGCGTTGCGGATACAATGGATAATTGAAGAGTCACAAAAAAAAAAATAATAATAATTAAAAAGCAGGGTCATTAATGCCCCCCTCCCCCCCGCCCCCCAATCCCGCTGCGACGCTCACCTGCATTTATGTGATCCAGCTCCACTGGGGAAGGAACAATATGAGGTCGGAGGTGAGCGCGCTACCCCAGGGGTAGACGCGGGAGATCTCGGCGACTACAAAGAGCGCAGACAAAAGGCTGGGCCGCGAGGGGCGATGCGCAACATCCAAAATCTTCCACTCCGGACCTCTGTCGCTGTTTCGGCCACTGCGGAATAGACGAGCAGATGATGTAGAACGAATGTGGTGAGGCCAGAAACAGGTTTTTTTTTTTGTTTGTTTTTTTTTTTAAAGGATCCGCATCGTGAATAATTTTCAGGATTCCGATTGGCTCGGGTGACCTGAAGTATCGCTTTGGTTTGGCAAGTGTTTGACAGCC